GCCAAGGCAACAAAGGAGTGGCTCAAGAAGCACATTAAGGTCCTAGAGTGGCCTAGCCAGTCTCCAGACCTTAATCCCATAGAAAATCTGTGGAGGGAGCTGAAAGTTCGAGTTGTTATTTTATTTTATCAATTTATTATTTTATTATCATTCTACGTGGTGGTGACTTTACCGAAAGAACCACAGTGAGAATATTATTGTGTTATTTTATTTTATCAATTTATTATTTTATTATCATTCTACGTGGTGGTAACTTTACCTAAAGAACCACAGTGAGAATATTATTGTTATTTTATTTTATCAATTTATTATTTTATTATCATTCTACGTGGTGGTGACTTAACCGACAGAACCAAAGAAGATTAAAGCGAGAGAATTAAAGCAAATGCAATCAGGCGATGGGCAGGAGGCGAGGCCCCGCATGGCTAGGCCCCGCGTTGTAATGTTCCGACCTGGACGTCGATTCCATTACTCGCTGCTACTCAATTGATATCCCTACGAGAGAGAGAGACGGAGCGAGGCTCTACCTGGGTAAACAACAACAACACGACAACAACCACGAGGTGAATTTCTCACCTCGTAGTATCTCAGTGAGAGCAGGCACGCGCGTAGTGCAGAAGCTTCCCGCTATATAGTGACGTCACGCGGCAGCAGGAGGTGACGTGACGTCACTCGCGTGGTCTCAACGCACAATCCCCTCCCCCCAACGAGCTGCTGTGTAACTGAATAAATTATGTTAATGAAACAGGCTCACTTCCATTGATGGATGAGGCGTGGTATGCTGAAACCGGCACAATGAACTCGCGACGGTATTTATGAACAAATTATGTTAATGAACCGCCAGTGACCGGCGTAGCTCTGCCCAAATATGGATTTTTACTGGAACGGAAATCAGCAGTGACCAAGCAGACGTGACGTCACGCTCAAAAGCGCGGTGGAGGGGGTGAATACCTTGGTGACATGACGTCACTAGAGAGGTACATCTCCCCTCGGCGTCTCACACCGATGAGGTAATGAGAAGTTGTGACGTCAGAGAGCGGGGGATTTGAGTTTATTTACATTCCTTTTCCATTTCTCCCTCTCTCTTGAACAGAGACCCCTTGGGTGCGTGAGCTCAACAACAACAACGTGGTTACTCTCTGGTTCTATTGGGTAAAGTCACGTAGGTAAAAAATAAAATAACAAAAATCACGACGTTTCGGCCACAACACAAGCGGCCTTCATCAGGTGAAGGGACGAGACTGTCTGGAGGACAGCGCTGGAGTGAAAAAAGCCACGCTCAGATCACGACCTTTAAGCTGTGTGAGAAGAAACAAAGCGCCTTGACAAAGGAATTAGCATTGAATTTAGCATTGAAATGGCTGAGTGATTAGCTTGTGACTGGTCACAGAAATGGCTATATTAAAGTTAAAGCATACACATCCACAGAGGCATCACTGGTTACTCCGACTACACAATCCGCAAAGCCATCACTCCAGTCATGAAGAAGGATCCCCTTGAAGAGCCACTCAAAACCATCACCTTACCCTACATTGCAGGGGTCACTAAAAAGATCTCCAAAATCCTGAACAAACACGAGACCCAGGTCCGATTCAACACAGTACATAAAATCCGTGATTTGATTCCACGTGTAAAAGATGCTGTTCCAGACATACAGTACCCGGGCGTTTATAAACTAAAGTGCCTCTGTGGTAGTAGCTACATTGGAGAAACCAAACGACATATCTCGGACCGCATCCACGAACATAAAGCAGACTTGAAACACGGTAGGACGAACTCCTCTGCCGTGGCAGATCGCTGTTACAATTCAGTGGGCTCACATGACATTGACTTCAACCAAGACGGAGGTTATTTGCAAGCCAACCGGCTACCATGAGAGATTCGTTCATGAGGCCACCCATATATACAAGCACAGAGACAATTTCAACCGAGAAGATGGATTCTGGCTTAGTAACCATTGGAAAGATGTTTTAAACCATTTCCGTTCTTAATTAATTGTATTTTACAATGACCTTCAGAACGCAGCTCTTTCGCTGGCATTGACTCTTAATACCTCTCACACCACGGTTAAAGGTATGGTTTACAACATGGAGTATAACAGCGCCTCACAGCTGTCTCTCTCCCCCTCCTCTGTTCCGACCATGGATGAACTCGTCCGTCTGAACGGGACCCGTAGCTATCCGTATTGCTAAAGTTGAGGGTAAGAATCCACCCATTTTTCGCCATATAACATTGTGATATATAACGACTTATTGTTGGTAGCTTAGCTGATTGGAGAATATAGAGTGTATTGATAACATTGAGGTAATTTATATTTTAGTATTTTTTATTGGTTCACTATATAGTATTCATTATATATTGTATTGTATACCCAGTTACTGTGAATAGCTCAGATGTGTTGGCCGTGACTTCAACATAGCCATTTCTGTGACCAGTCACAAGCTGATCACTCAGTTATTTCAATGCTAAATTCGCTTAGTTATTTCAATGCTAAATTCTCCTGTTTGATTTGTACTAGGTGCCTCGGTGAATGTGTGTGCTCTGACTTTAACATAGCTATTTCTGTGACCAGTTACAAGCTAATCACTCAGCTATTTCAATGCAAATTTTTATGCTAATTCCTTTGTCAAGGAGTGCCTCTGCGGATGTGTATACTTTAACTTAGCTATTTCAATGCTAAATTCTATGCTAATTCCTTTGTCAAGGGGTGCCTTTGCGGATGTGTATGCTTTAACTTTAACATAGCCTTTTCTGTGACCAGTCACGAGCTAATCACTCAGCCATTTCAATGCTAAATTCTATGATAATTCCTTTGTCAAGGCGCTTTGTTTCTTCACGCAGCTTAAAGGTCGTGATCTCAGCGTGGCTTTCTCACTCCAGCGCTGTCCTCCAGACAGTCTCGTCCACTTCACCTGATGAAGGCCGCTTGTGTTGTGGCCGAAACGTCGTGAGAATATTATTGTGTTATTTTATTTTATCAATTTATTATTTTATTCTCATTCTACGTGACTTTACCGAAAGAACCAAAGAAGATGAATCCTTGCAGTCACGAAAGCTTTAAGTCGAAATTTAACCATTTTAAACCCTCCAAATAAAAACACATTCTTCAAATCGCTTTAAACTATTGTCATTGTAGTGCGTATTTAATGTGGCGCTACACTCTGATGTAGGAGAAAATATTTAAAAGTCTATTTAATTAAATAGAACGTTTTTATATTTAAAGTTGCGCATTTTGATGTGACGTCACCCCCCCCCTCGTCACATATCGTCACAAATGTGTGACCGTCACAGTTTGTACACATTGTATACACAGTTTGTACACACACACTGTATACACAGTTTGTACACACACATTGTATACACAGTTTGTACACACACTGTATACACAGTTTGTACACATTGTATACACAGTTTGTACACACACTTATACACAGTTTGTACACATTGTATACACAGTTTGTACACACACACTTATACACAGTTTGTACACACACACACTTATACACAGTTTGTACAAACACTTATACACAGTTTGTACACATTGTATACACAGTTTGTACACACACACTTATACACAGTTTGTACACACACTGTATACACTGTTCACACACTATACACAGTTTGTACACACACTGTATACACAGTTTGTACACATACACTTATACACAGTTTGTACACACATACACAGTTTGTACACAGTTTGTACACACATACACAGTTTGTACACAGTTTGTACACACACACTTATACACAGTTTGTACACACACACTTATACACAGTTTGTACACACACACGTATACGCAGTTTGTACACACACACTTATACGCAGTTTGTACACACACACTGTATACGCAGTTTGTACACACACACTTATACACAGGTTGTACACACACACACTTATACACAGTTTGTACACACACACACTGTATACACAGTTTGTACACACACTATTTACACAGTTTGTACACACACACTTATACACAGTTTGTACACACACATTATACACAGGTTGTACACACACACTTATACACAGTTTGTACACACACTGTATACACAGTTTGTTCACACACTATACACAGTTTGTACACACACTTATACACAGTGTGTACACACACACTGTATACGCAGTTTGTACACACACACTTATACACAGTTTGTACACACACACGTATACACAGTTTGTACACACACACTTATACACAGTTTGTACACACGCAGTTTGTACACACACACTTATACACAGTTTGTACACACACACGTATACACAGTTTGTACACACACACTTATACACAGTTTGTACACACACTTATAGACAGTTTGTACACACACTGTATACACAGTTTGTACACACACACTTATACACAGTTTGTACACACACACTTATATACAGTTTGTACACACACACTTATACACAGTTTGTACACACACACTGTATACACAGTTTGTACACACACTGTATACACAGTTTGTACACACACTTATACACAGTTTGTACACACACACTTATACACAGTTTGTACACACACATTGTATACACAGTTTGTACACACACATTGTATACACAGTTTGTACACACACTTATGCACAGTTTGTACACACACACTGTATACACAGTTTGTACATACACACTTATACACAGTTTGTACACACACTTATACACAGTTTGTACACACACTTATACACAGTTTGTACACACACACTTATACGCAGTTTGTACACACACACTTATACACAGTTTGTACACACACACACACTTATACACAGTTTGTACACACACACACTTATACACAGTTTGTACACACACACTTATACACAGTTTGTACACACACACTTATACAGTTTGTACACACACACTGTATACACAATGTTCACGTTGTTGAGCTCACGCACACCAAAGGGTCAATGTTCAATAGAGGGATCAATGGAATAGGAATCTTAATAAACTTGAACTCTAACCCCGCTCTCTGACGTCACCGCTGCATTACCTCTTCGGCGTGAGGGGGGAGGTGTACCCCGCTATTGACGTCATGTCACCTGCTGCCGCGTGACGTCACGAGACACCAGGAAGCTGCCGTACTCTACGCGCGCGCTCACTGTGAGCCGAGGTGAGAAGTTCACATCGTGGTTGTTGTTGCTGTTGTCGTTGTTGTCGTGTTGGTGGTGGTGGTGGTTGTTGTTGTTGTTGTTGTTTACCCAGGTACAGCCTCGCTCCTCTCTCTCTCTCTCGTAGGGATATCAATTGAGTAGCAGCGAGTAATGGAATCGACGTCCAGGTCGGAACATTACAACGCCGGGCCTAGCCATGCGGGCCCTCGCCTCCTGCCCATCGCCTGATTGCGTTTGCTTTAATTCCCTGCTTAGACTCACACAGACATTGGCCTACACACACACAGACAGACATGGACTTTAGATACACACACATTGACTTACACACACACATTGACTTACACACACACATTAACTTACACACACACATCGACTGATACATCGACTTACACACACATCGACTTACACACACATCGACTTACACACACATCGACCGACACACACATCGACTCACACATCGACTTACACACACATCGACTTACACACACATCGACTTACACACACATCGACTTACACACACATCCACTTACACACACATCGACTTACACACACATCGACTTACACATCCACTTACACACACATCCACTTACACACATATCGACTTACACACACATCCACTTACACACACATCCACTTACACACACATCCACTTACACACACATCCACTTACACACACATCGACTTACACACACATCGACTTACACACACAAAGACTTGCACAGCAATCCCCGATGATGCCACAGCTAGAGCAATTGTCTCTCTCTCTGGCGAGCCTTAGCGAGGAGCAGTTTGAAAACAAAAGTCTTCCCAGTACTGGCAGGTGCGTCAAGGGGAAAAACAAAAAAGACTCAATTTGTAGTCTCAATGTCTTCCAAGATGTTCGTGTGGGCTTGACTTTGTGCACGCGTGAGCCTTGGTTAATTTTCGTGAGTAAATTTACGAAGCCGTTGAAGCACAATGGCATAGGAATAGGTTTTACCCTTTTAACTGGCACAAAAAACTGACACCTTTATTCAAGGCATCATGTTTGCAATAACCACAACACAAGCAGTCAAAATGCAAACAAAAAAGACAACTCTGATAATAATATGCACTGTCCTTGAATTTGATTGGTCCACACCCGAGACAGCACAATAGCATATTTAACGTAGGGCCTCTTGAGCAAGGGCATGCAGGTTGTCCGTGTAGGGCGTTGGTAATCCCATAGACGCGAGGTATTTAGCACCAATGCAGTGCAGTTTGTCCTGAAGGAGGATGAGGGCCTGTTTGAAGATCACATCAGAGAAGTTGACGTCGAGGTTTGTATTTTGTCATTGAGCTCCGTGGAGGATGTCCTTACTCATGCCCTCTTTGTATTTTTTGGCAGAGTCCCCATGGGGTTAGATGGGCTGCAAACTTGAAGAATCTTGCAGAAGGTAAATGTCAGTTGGGAAACGGGACTGAGCATCAGAAGCTTCTGTCATAGCTTCATGAAGATGGTGGAAGATCTTGCACAGGGGAGGGCAGTAGGTAAACGATCCATCGATTGTGAACCTGAATTAGCGAGTTAGTGGCAGGTCTGAGCGTTGTTTGAAATCCACCATGCTCAGCATTTCTGTGAAGATATAAGAGGATAGCCATCATGGGCCAACTTGAGCGTCTTTCAAGTAGTTGCATGGATACGTCTTGGTACGGCTGTGGTCTTGCATACTTGGCGCATTTGGATAGAACTGGCCACATGGGCCATGGACCATTTGGTTGCAGACCTCATGACAAAAGGGCAGGGTCTTGATGAAGGTGAGGTAGATTTCGATTTAAAGCTTTCGTGACTGCAATGATTCATCTTCTTTGGTTCTTTCGGTAAAGTCACGTAGAATGATAATAAAATAATAAATTGATAAAATAAAATAACACAATAATATTCTCACGACGTTTCGGCCACAACACAAGCGGCCTTCATCAGGTGAAGGGGGCGAGACTGTCTGGTAGGACAGCGCTGGAGTGAAAGAGCCACGTTCAGATCACGGCCTTTAAGCTGTGTGAGAGGAACAAAGCGCCTTGACAAAGGAATTAGCATATAATTTAGCATTGAAATGGCTGAATGATTAGCTTGTGACTGGTCACAGAAATAGCTGTGTTAGAAGTTAAAGCATACACACCCGCAGAGGCACCCATTGTTAAAGGAATTAGCATAGAATTTAGCATTGAAATAGCTAAGTTAAGGCATACACATCCGCAGAGGCACCCCTTGACAATGGAATTAGCATAGAATTTAGCATTGAAATAGCTGAGTGATTAGCTTGTACCTGCTGCAGAAATAGCTACGTTAAAGTCAGAGCATACACATTCACCGAGGCCCTTAGTACAAATCAAACAGGAGAATTTAGCATTGAAATAACTAGGCGAATTTAGCATTGAAATAACTGAGTGATTAGCTAGTGACTGGTCACAGAAATGACTACACATCTGAGCTATTCACAGTACTATATAGTGAACCAATAAAAACTAAAATATAAATTACCTTCATGTTATCAATAAACTCTATATTCTCCAATCAGCTAAGCTACCAACAATAAGTCGTTATATATCACAATGCTATATGGCGAAAAAATGGGTGGATTCTTACCCTCAAATTTCAGCACCACGGATAGCTACGGGCCCCGTTCAGACGGACGAGTTCGTCCATGGTCGGAACAGAGGAGGGGGAGAGAGACAGCTGCGAGGCCCTAGTATACTCCATGTTGTAAAACTATACCATTAACCGTGGTGTGAGAGGTATTAAGAGGCAATGCTGGCGAAAGAGCTGCGGTCTGAAGGTCATCGTAAAAATACAATTAATTAAGAACAGAAATGATTTAAAACATCTTTCCAGTGGTTACTAAGCCAGAATCCATCTTCTCGGTTGAAATTGTCTCTGTGCTTGTATATGTGGGTGGCCTCATGAACGAATCTCTCATGGTAGCCGGTTGGCTTGCAAAGAACCTCCGTCTTGGTTGAAGTCAATGTCATGTGAGCCCACTGAATTGTAACAGCGATCTGCCACGGCAGAGGAGTTCGTCCTACCGTGTTTCAAGTCTGCTTTATGTTCGTGGATGCGGTCCGAGATATGTCGTTTGGCTTCTCCAATGTAGCTACTACCACAGAGGCACTTTAGTTTATAAACGCCCGGGTACTGTATGTCTGGAACAGCATCTTTTACACGTGTAATCAGATCACGGATTTTGTGTACTGTGTTGAATCGGACCTGGATCTTGTGTTTATTCAGGATTTTGGAGATCTTTTTAGTGACCCCTGCAATGTAGGGTAAGGTGATGGTTTTGAGTGGCTCCACAAGAGAATCCTTCTTCATGACTGGAGTGATGGCTTTGCTGATTGTGTAGTCGGAGTAACCATTAGCCCTGAGAGCCTGGTGTACGTGCTTGAGTTCACTGGTAATGTGTTCCTGGTCGGATATGCATTGGGCTCTTTGGTATAGAGTCTTGATGAGGGAGTTCTTCTGGGATGGATGGTGGTGGGAATCCGGTTTCAAGTAAGCATCTGTATGGGTGGCTTTCCTGTAGACAGAGTGGCTCATTGAACCATCATGTCTCCTTTTAATTAAGACATCCAAAAAGGGTAGTTTGCCATCTTTTTCGACCTCCATGGTAAATCTGATGGCTGGGTGTATGGAATTGATGTGGTCGCGAAATTGGTCTAGAGCAGGCTGGCCATGTGGCCAGATGACAAAGATGTGTATGCTTTAACTTTAACATAGCCATTTCTGTGACCAGTCACAAGCTAATCACTCGGCCATTTCAATGCTAAATTATATGCTAATTCCTTTGTCAAGGCGCTTTGTTTCTTCTGACACAGCTTAAAGGTCGTGATCTGAGCGTGGCTTTTTTCACTCCAGCGCTGTCCTACCAGACAGTCTCGCCCCTTCACCTGATGAAGGCCGCTTGTGTTGTGGCCGAAACGTCGTGAGTTTTGTTATTTTATTTTTTACCTACGTGACTTTACCCAATAGAACCAGAGATTAACCACGTTGTTGTTGAGCTCACGCACTCAAGGGGTCTCTGTTCAAGAGAGAAATGGAAAAGGAATATAAATAAACTCAAATCCCCCGCTCTCTGACGTCACAACTTCGCATTACCTCATCGGTGTGAGACGCCTAGGGGAGATGTACCTCTCTGGTGACGTCATGTCACCAAGGTATTCACCCCCCCTCCACCGCGCTTTTTAGCGTGACGTCACGTCTGCTTGGTCACTGCCGATTTCCGTTCGAGTAAAAATCCATATTTGGGCAGAGCTACGCCCGGTCACTGGCGGTTCATTAACATAATTTATTCATAAATACCGTCGCGAGTTCATTGTGCCGGGTTCAGCATACCACGCCTCATCCATCAATGGACGTGAGCATGTCTCATTAACATAATTTATTCAGTTACACCGCCGCTCGTTGGGGGGAGGGGATTGTGCGTTGAGACCACGCGAGTGACGTCACGTCACCTTCTGCTGCCGCGTGACGTCACGATATAGCGGGAAGCTTCTGCACTACGCGCGCGCCTGCTCTCACTGAGACACTACGAGGTGAGAAATTCACATCGTGGTTGTTGTTGTGGTGGTGTTGTTGTGGTGTTGTTGTTGTTTACCCAGGTACAGCCTCGCTCCTCTTTCTCTCGTTGGGATATCAATTGAGTAGCAGCGAGTAATGGAATCGACGTCCTGGTCGGAACATTACAACGCGGGGCCTAGCCATGCGGGGCCTCGCCTCCTGCCCATCGCCTGATTGCGTTTGCTTTAATTCTCTCGCTTTAACCTTCTTTGGTTCTGTCGGTAAAGTCACCACCACGTAGATTGAGAATAAAATAATAAATTGATGAAATAAGATAACACAATAATATTCTCACTGTGTGGTTCTGTCGGTAAAGTTACCACCACGTAGAATGAGAATAAAATAATAAATTGATAAAATAAAATAACAATATTCTCACTGTGGTTCTTTCGGTAAAGTCACCACCACGTGGAATGAGAATAAAATAATAAAATTGATAAAATAAAATAATAATATTCTCACTGTGGTTCTTTCGGTAAAGTCACCACATAGAATGATAATAAAATAACAAATTTATAAAATAAAATAACAACTCGAACTTTCAGCTCCCTCCACAGATTTTCTATGGTATTAAGGTCTGGAGACTGGCTAGGCCACTCTAGGACCTTAATGTGCTTCTTGAGCCACTCCTTTGTTGCCTTGGCCGTGTGTTTTGGGTCATTGTAATGCTGGAATACCCATCCACGACCCATTTTCAATGCCCTGGCTGAGGGAAGGAGGTTCTCACCCAATATTTGACGGTACATGGCCCCATCCATCATCCCTTTGATGCGGTGAAGTTGGCCTGTCCACTTGGCAGAAAAACACCCCCAAAGCATAATGTTTCCACTTCCATGTTTGACGGTTGGGATGGTGTTCTTGGGGTCATATGCAGCATTCCTCCTCCAAACACGGCGAGTTGAGTTGATGCCAAGGAGCTCCATTTTGGTCTTATCTGACCACAACACTTTCACCTAATTTTCCTCTGAATCATTCAGATGTTCATTGGCAAACTTCAGACGGGCATGTATATGTGCTGTCTGGAGCAGGGGGACCTTGCAGGCGCTGCAGGATTTCAGTCCTTCACGACGTATTGTGTTACCAATTGTTTTCTTGGTGACTATGGTCCCAGCTGCCTTGAGATCATTGACAAGATCCTCCCGTGTAGTTATGGGCTGATTCCACACCGTTCTCATGATCATTGCAACTCCACGAGGTGAGATCTTGCATGGAGCCCCAGGCCGAGGGATATTGACAGTTCTTTTGTGTTTCTTCCATTTGCGAATAATAGCACCAACTGTTGTCACCTTCTCACAAAGCTGCTTGGCAATGGTCTTGTAGCCCATTCCAGCCTTGTGTAGGTCTACAATCTTGTCCCTGACATCCTTGGAGAGCTCTTTGGTCTTGACCATGGTGGAGAGTTTGGAATCTGATTGATTGATTGCTTCTGTGGACAGGTGTCTTTTATACAGGTAACAAGCTGAGATTAGAAGCACTCCCTTTAAGAATGTGCTCCTAATCTCAGCTCGTTACCTGCATAAAAGGCACCTGGGTGCCAGAAATCTTTCTGATTGAGAGGGCGTCAAATACTTATTTCCCTCATTCAAATGCAAATCAATTTATTACATTTTTGGCATGCGTTTTTCTGGATTTTGTTGTTATTCTGTCTCTCACTGTTCAAATAAACCTACCATTAAAATTATACACTGATCATTTCTTTGTCAGTGGGCAAACGTACAAAATCAGCAGGGGATCAAATACTTTTTTCCCTCACTGTAAATGACCATCTGTGCTGGCTTATACAGTGAAGGCTGGCCTGCCAATGATTTATCCTCTATTCAACCAGTTTATATTCTATTTAGAAGCTTACAGACCCTTAAGATATCAATATAGAATATAATCTTGAGTTTCTTTGGCAGGCGAGGCTGCATTGGTTTGGTCATGAATCCCGCATTCCCAGATACTGCATGATCAACCAGCTTTTTGTCCAGATATTAGGGGCTGATCAGGCATGGCATTGGCTAGAGAAGAGATTGGAGGATGTGGAGGTGATCGGACCTGCCGATGACTGGTGCCAGGAGTGGAGATCGGCCTCTGTGGAGGAGGCCGAGTGAGGTATGCTTCATGGCAGATAAGAGATAGTTGCTCTGCAATGATGATGAGGTCGGAAGAGTAACGCCCACATGAATAATAGGTGGAACACTGGGTTCCCAACACCCAGCAAGACAGTGGGGAGCACAGCTGGTTCTTCTGTCAGTCATCCCTTGACACCTGGATCATTCCCGTTACCTGCTGACACGGAATCCACACTTACATGGCCTTAAATTGCACCTATCATAGCATTAGCACTGGGAAAAGGTTACTTGCAATTCGTCATGAATGTTGGATGTTTTGTTTGTATAATATGTTAATGATCCACGTGAAATGTACGTGTATTTAAGAGTTTATCTCGCAGTTATTTCACTGCATTATGAACTCAACAATTAGTTTGATTATCGCCGACAGCAAACATGATTGATAACACTGTAACAAAAAAAATTGTCCCTGCATAGTAAGTGTTATTTTCTAATTGCTTATGCCTCAAAAGTACAGAAAATGGCTATTATTCCCCACAAACTTTGCTTTCGTGACCAGGACAGTGATCTTTTGAAATGTACCTATTTTCAATGAGAAAACGTGCGCATTTGTGTCATTCCTTCACATAAAGTCCTGGTTACAAAAGGAAAGTTTGTGGGCATGACCAATAAAAAAATAACACTAGCCATCCAGCGACAAAAAAATCGTGTTACATAGTGTAAGTTGAACTTATTGTGGGCCTCTGCTATGTTGATTGATCTTAAATTAATTACATGGTGAAGTGAGAACGCATTAATAATGAGCAGATGAAGGTGGCCAGGCATGGTTCTGGACACACCACCACCTTTTTACCATGCCAGTGTGTGACGATGTCAAGTTTGTATTTGCAGTAATGTATATTAACGACTGAACATGGAGGTTAAATCAAAACAATAGTTTATTTTAATTTTCCTCTGGGACTTTTTGTAAGGATGGAAACAGGAAAACATCTCAGCACATATGCAGCTGAAGTTAGATCTGTTCATCCGAGCATTCAAGCGAATCTGAGCCTGGCTTCCACCTCGAAGTTTCGATTGAACATAAATTTATGCCTTTCTGCATAATACAAATAGTATTATTTTCAAGACACTTTGCTATTATAGCTGATTTTTTCTTAAATATTCCTTTCATAGCTAGTCAGCCGAAATTGTGTGCTTGGAGTTTTGGGTAAACATTCATTTTGAAGATACTAGGGCATCCAGGAATATGTATGACCATTGGCCCTCTCATTGTGTGCCTTAACAGCCCGTGTGATGAATTGGGGAATAATTTTCACTATATCATGAATATTTGAATAAGTATAGATGTGTAAGTCATGTGTGACTGTGTATATATGCATTCCTCTGTGTCTTGATACTGACGTAGATGGTGTGGATACATTTTTCTGACTGCAGCTGACTATTTCTCTGACGCTTCCTCTGCAGAATTGGTCTGATGGAGCAACGGCACTCGGCGCAGCTCGGTACAAAAAAGAAACAATGCGACCAGTGTGCATACAGCACGGATCATACTGGAAGTTTGACTCAGCACAAGAGAACACACACAGGAGAGAAACCCTTCAAGTGCAGTGTGTGTGAGAAGGCATTTGCCAAGCCATCGCTTCTTCACGACCACCAGAGAACACACACGGGAGAGAAACCCTTCAAGTGCATTGTTTGTGAGAAGACATTTGCACAGTCAGCAGTTCTTCAGAGACACAAGAGAACACACACGGGAGAGAAACCCTTCAGGTGCACTGTGTGCGGGAAGGCGTTTAAATGGTCATCACATCTTAAAAAACACCAGAGAATGCACACAGGAGAGAAACCCTTCAAGTGCACTGTGTGTAGAAGCGTATTTGCACAGTCATCAAGTCTTAAGATCCACCAGAGAATGCACACAGGAGAGAAACCCTTCAAGTGCACTGTGTGTGAGAAGGCATTTGCACGGTTATCACATCTTCACGACCACCAGAGAATGCACACAGGAGAGAAACCCTTCAAGTGCACTGTGTGTGAGAAGGCATTTGCACAGTCATCACGTCTTAAGATCCACCAGAGAATGCACACAGGAGAGAAACCCTTCAAGTGCACTGTGTGTGAGAAGGCATTTGCACACTCATCAAGTCTTAAGTACCACCAGAGAATGCACACAGGAGAGAAACCCTTCAAGTGCACTGTGTGTGAGAAGGCGTTTACACGTTCATCAGGTCTTAAGATCCACCAGAGAAGGCACACAGGAGAGAAACCCTTCAAGTGCACTGTGTGTGAGAAGGCATTTGCAAAGTCAGCAGTTCTTCAGAGACACCAGACAACACACACAGGAAAGAAACCCTTCAAGTGCACTGTGTGTGAGAAGGCATTTGCAGAGTCATCACATCTTAAAAAACACCAGAGAACACACACAGGAGAGAAACCCTTCAAGTGCACTGTGTGTAGAAGTGCATTTGCACAGTCATCACATCTTCACGACCACCAGAGAACACACACAGGAGAGAAACCCTTCAAGTGCACTGTGTGTGAGAAGGCATTTGCAGAGTCATCACATCTTAAAAAACACCAGAGAACACACACAGGAGAGAAACCCTTCAAGTGCACTGTGTGTGAGAAGGCATTTGCAGAGTCATCACATCTTAAAAAACACCAGAGAACACACACAGGAGAGAAACCCTTCAAGTGCACTCTGTGCGGGAAGGCGTTTGCACGGTCATCACATCTTCAAAGACACCAGAGGACACACAGTTATCAGAAGATCCCCAAGGAGCGGAATCTGAAATCGGCTTGTGAAAGTCAAAGTGCTGCAATGAGCCCATCCCTGCTGAAAAAAGAACCAGAATTTAATTCCAGCTTGGACGCAATGAAATGTATCAAGGTGGATTTTGAAGAGGCGAAGGTGAAATGTGAAGAAGTGATGGTGAAGAGCGAAGAAGTGATGGTGAAATGTGAAGAAGTGATGGTGAAGAGCGAAGAAGTGAAGGTAAAATGTGAAGATGAAGATTCAACTCCAAAATCGGACCTTCACATCGATGGAGGCAACGTGAAGCAGGAGGAGAATTCTGACTGTGAGGCAGAGCGAGGCAACTCCCAGCAGTTTGTGGAAGTGGAGGTGTGGGTGGACTTCTTAGACAATACAAAGTCAAATGGAGACCCTGTAGATGTGTAAGGTTGAGACAATGAAGCTCCAATAGATTCAGCCTTGGCACAGGCTTTTAATTACAATAACGTGAAGTTGAACAGTCCATTCCTAGGTTCAACCTGCAGAGTAAGAGCAACCAGTATTTGCGGACCTGTGGGTTGGGTAAATCTCTTGCCAGGAGCCAGAGCCAATAATCTCCGAAGCATTCACGATGTTACACTATGTTATAATAATTTTAGCATTTATATGGCGCTTGCTTAATCGCCTCAGCAACTCAGTTGTTTTGTATCATCTCATCACAAACACTCGAAGAGCATGTTGTATATATGCCTTTTCCATAAAATTGTATTGATTGATTCTTTCTATTGTTTTGTAATCATTTTGATCGGGATGTAGCGCTGGGGCACGGAAAGGGTGAGTCACACCCCCCCCCCTGCTGCCTCCTGCCTTGCCACACACAAGACTGCTGGGGAAGTTATAAAATGTCATTTTAAAAAATGGCAAACCCAAGGGTGGGGGGGGGGGCTAATGAGATTCTGCGGGAAATCCCCAGTTGACTTCAAGAGAAGGCCGCCATGAAGGAAAAACCCCACAACAAAACAAAAGACGAAAACAGCAGGGGTCACGAACCTCCCTTGGACAGCGAAATTCATTTAAGGTGTTGTATATGTGTAGGCCTTTTTCCAAAATTTATATTAAGAATAATTCTTGCATTTCGCACCAACACCACCTGACCAGTGAATTAAAACATGTACATCTTGGCCCTCAAAAGGAATGGATACTCTGACAATACCATCCGCCAGGCTGTTTCTCCCTCCATACAGAAACAACCACTTGATACTCCGGTCAAAACCATCACACTGCCACATATAGCAGGCGTTACTAAAAAGATTTCCAAAATTCTAAACAAACACAAGATCCACGTCCGGTTCAATACAGTGCACAAAATTCGTGATCTGATCCCATCCGTGAATGATGTCATTCCTGACTTACAGTACCCCGGGGTTTACAAATTGAGTTGTACCTGCGGTGACTGCTATATCGGGGAGACGAAGCGACATGTCTCTGACCGAATTCGCGAGCACAAATCAGATTTGAAACACGGCAGAACGAATTATTCTGCCGTAGCTGATCACTGTTACAACGCTGTGGGTGATCACGATATAATTTTCTCCGATACCAAGGTTCTTTGCAAACCCACGGGTTTTTATCAGAGATTTGTTCACGAGGCAATTCAGATTTACAAACACGGACACAATTTCAACCGAGAAGATGGTTTCAAATTAAGCAACCATTGGAAAGATGTTCTAAATCGAACCAAGCATTAAACTAATTTTCAATGCTACAGTATATTTTTTCAAGTAGTGGTACCCCAAACTTTCGCAGCTTCTTAAAATTCCCTTTTCACACCATCAATATGTAAACTCCCCCTCCCCCCCTCGCCGGCCTGCACATGTTCACCCCCTCTACACCGTTCATCATGCTAAGTCCGCCAATTAAATGCTAATTTTTATGCTAATTCCTTTGTCAAGGCACCTTAATTCCTCTCACACAGCTTAAAGGTCGCGGTCTGAGCTTGGCTGTGTTCACTCCAGCGCTGTCCTCGAGACAGTCTGGTCCCTTCACCTGATGAAGGCCACTTGTGTTGTGGCCGAAACGTCGTGATTTTTGTTTTATTTTTTACCTACGTGACTTTACCGAATAGAACCAAAGAGTAAGAATAATTCTGCCATTTTTTAATAATAATCGATTACATAAATAAATTAACACCCTCAAACCCGCTACCTCCCACAAGCACTGAGCATCTGGAGGTCGTGAAAGGCCATTAAATAAAAAAACTCCGGGGGTAAAGGGAGGTTAACGACGACGATCTGCAAAATCTCCAGATTGCCAAAGGACCACATACCATGAGATGCTTGGCACTGTTGACAGTTCACAAACAAATATCCAGAATCACAGGCACGGACACAGAGCACAGGGCAAACGGACATTATAACTGATATTTTTTTTTCGTATGGAAAAAGTTACAGCTTGGCTATAAGAATAAGTCGACATGATAGACTGCAGTCTACATTAGTGGCTTTATTATTACTTATTTTATTTCACCCTTATTCAACTCACATTGTTTCCTATTTTATATTTCTATCTATGTAACTTCACCAAGAGAACCAAGGAATGTGAATTGTGGCAGTCAAGAAAGTGAGGGCTTGGTTATATCTCCAGCCTCGGGATATCTCTGACCTCGAGAATAAAAAAAACACGGATCCCTGGATGCAGACAGAGAGCAAAAGTTAATAAAAGCCTTGAAATACCGGAGGTAACATCTAATGGTACATTACAAATCTTGGTTAAACACAAACCAAATAATAATCACAAGGGATTAGACCTAGGCTAATTCATTAGAGGTACAAGAAATAGGTCAAACACAAAGACCACATAAATGTATTCCATTAAATCAGAGCCTCCCTGGCCACCTTTGTCTTCCAACAATTTAACACAAACACATGGTAGCCATAAAACGTATGAAAGGTGCGTCCCCTCCCTTAGCGGACACCGCGAAGAGAGGGGTTGGGAGGGCAAACAAACATCAATTTGATGTAAAGCAGCCCGGGGTCACCAAGGGAAGAGGGGAGGGGTTAGAGCATGACGGAGTAAGCATCTGTTTCTTTTTCTCTCGTAAGAGACGCGCAGAGGGGAGATTTTTCGGATTAAAAACAGCAACACGACACACACATCATGAGACCTCCTTTGCCAGTAACAAGATATAGGAATAGGTTTCACCCTTTTTTTAACTGGCACAAAAACTGGCACCTCTATTCAAGGCATCATGTTTGCAATAACCACAACACAAGCAGTCAAAATGCAAACAAAAGAGTATTATACTCTGATAGTGCGCTGTTCTTGAGCCGCCACGCCCCCTGGCTTTTCCTGGAGCCTGGTCTCCATTGGTGTTGGGCCGGGGGACGCCAGGGGGCGTGGCGGCTCAAGAACAGCGCACTATCAGAGTATAATTGTCTTTTGTTTGCATTTTGACTGCTTGTGTTGTGGTTATTGCAAACATGATGCCTTGAATAGAGGTGCCAGTTTTTGTGCCAGTTAAAAAAAGGGTGAAACCTATTCCTACGACACACACAGTTCAGCTCGACATGGGGAGCTCGACAAGGGACAGCTCGGCAAGAGACAGCTCTCTCAGAAGAGGGCGGCGAGCGGCAAGCTCCGGGGTGAGACTCTGCAACCAACCGGGGATGGAGAGACTTGCCGAGTAGCGACGTGTCGCCGAACGCGAGTTTAGAGCCGACAGGAGAAGCGTCGCTCAAAGTCATTCCATCCTGAGTGCCGGCTCCCACCAGCAGCCACAGCCGAGCAACAGAATAACGAGCAAGGGTGTCTGCCGCCGGCGAACGAACTGCACGCGCAGTCGGGTTATCGACAAAGAGCTCGGGGCAGGAGGGAGCGCGTGCGGCGCAGCTCCTCCAGCAGTGGAAGGAGCCTGCTGCTGTCAGCGGACGGGCAGCTAAGCCGACGCCCCGAGCGAGAGAGAGCAACGAAGCCGTTTGTATGACACGCCCACCGTTGTAAGACACGCCCACTGTTGTAAGACACGCCCACCGTTGTGAGACACGCCCACCATTGTAAGAAACGCCCACCGTTGTAAGACACGCCCACCGTTGTATGACACGCACACCGTTGTAAGACACGCCCACCGTTTGTATGACACGCCCACCGTTGTATGGCACGCCCACCGTTGTAAGACACGCCCACCGTTGTAAGACACGCCCACCGTTGTAAGGCCCACCGTTGCAAGACACGCCCACCGTTGTAAGGCACGCCCACTGTTGTAAGACACGCCCACCGTTGTAAGACACGCCCGCCGTTGTAAGACACGCCCGCCGTTGTAAGACACGCCCACCGTTGTAAGACTCGCCCACCGTTGTAAGACACGCCCACCGTTTGTAAGACACGCCCACCCTCACACCCTCACCTCTCCGCAGGAGACAAAGACATTTTTGATACAAGGGATGTCCAACCTCGGCGTTTGCTTAACGCAAGAAGATCAACAACACTCACACATTAACACTTACAAGAAGACTCATGATAAGTGCGTCAACTACTAGCTGATAACGAGGAACATTGCGGCCCATTGAGTTACGTGGATACAGTCATTTAGAAGTATTTCAGTCGTTATTTTTTTCTTTTTAATTGGATAACTATTGCCAATGAATTAATTGATGAAACCAAACGTTTAGAAACCTACGTTACGAATCTACACACTCACAGGGAGAATCTTGTGTTGAAATCGTTCTTTTGATCACAGAATATTGCCTGCAAATGAATTGAAGCCTCAGCCAATTGATAAGCATTTGTTGAAGCGGGCAGACTGTCGCACACCATTGTCCCAAGACATTTCGTAACTACATAATCTTCCCAATTAATTCATTGCCGTATACTTTTGCCTTCGGGACATGTTTCTTTATTGCCCTTCATATGAATTTTAAGGACTTTTTCCTATCACCATGTATGTTCGCGTTACTCTAAGGAATTAATCGATTATTCTGTTACCCAATTTAACAATGTGATCATTGAGGGTTAAATGTATGGATCGATGAGAACATCTCCAGGAGTACTGTGTTGACAATTCCAAGCATAAGAGTTCGCATATTAGAGTATTATGTTTTTGTTTCGAAATTTAAATTGCTTAACACAGAAGTGTTTGATTGTTTCTTTCCTAAGCTCATGCGTAATAATATTAATTATAGGAACTGTTTCCTGCGATGAGATTTGAATTTGGAGACCTGACATAAACACACTAATACATAATCGGTAAATGTTAAAGCGAGAATAATTGTATTATACCGAGTAATAATACGAACCGAGACAAGGAAGCCGAGCTGAATCTAGCATACTTACAGCACACCTGCATAACTTCATACATTAATTGTATTATCCCGATTGGTAATACTACCCTCGACAACGAGGGAGGGCCTAAATATCATAACAGCTTACATTAGCATAATCGCACACATTCGCATGAACTAATTTGATTATCTCTCTAATTGGCATAATTTATACGCGTAAATTAACATTTAACATTTATTGGTTTATTCAATTTCCAATGCCCGGCATATACAACAAAGGGCAGTTAATCATTATGAGCTACCAACAGTTAGGTTTGAAGCTTAGCTATATCTTCAACCTCAGGATATCAAAATATAACTTGAGAATAAGAATCACGGATCCCTGTCAATACAGACTGGGAACAAATGTTAATTAACCATTTTAAATCTTCTTTGGTTCTTTCGGTAAAGTCACGTAGAATGAGAATAAAATAATACATTGATAAAATAAAATAACACTATAATA